CAAATTCTCAAATTCTCAAATTCTCAAATTCTCAAATTCTCAAATTCTCAAATTTCCAAATCCCAAAATTCCCAAGTCCCAAAATTCCCAAATCCCAAAAGTCCCAAATCCCTAAATTCCCAAATCCCAAAAGTCCCAAATCCCTTAATTCCCAAGTCCCAAAATTTCCAAATCCCAAAATTCTCAAATCCCAAAAGTCTCAAATCCCTAAATTCCCAAATTCCGAAATCGCCAAATCTCCAAATTCTCAAATTTATAAATCTTCAAAAGCTGAAATTTCCAATTTTCCGAGTCCATAAATTCCCAAAATCCAAGTGACCTTTAACCCCACAAAATTTAATATATTACTCGATACCTCAAACCTAAATATTCAATAAACAAACGCACATTTAATAGTCTATATTACATTCTACAGTTCACAGAAATACGCCTACAAAATTAATATATAATTCTTTGATTTAAATCTGCATAAAAAGTTTGTACGTATATTCATTAAAATAACATAGTTTTGGGATGCTTCGTATAAGAATTTCATTATACACGAATCAACTGTCAGTGTTGGGTAAAAGTATCTTTAAAAAATCTATAAAACCTGAAACAGTAATATAAGCCGAAACGAATGCATTAAAAATTTTCCAAAGAAAACTTTGAATAAAAACCGTTAAAAATTGAACGGAAGGAAAAGATATTTAAAAATGTAATTTTAAAAATTCTAAAAGCATGAAACAGTAATTGTAACTTGAATAACAACAGTAAAATTGAATATAAGCTAAATTATTCTAATTCTATTATAATTTATATTATCGTGCCAATAATAATTGAAATAAGCATAATACAATACTTATCTACAAATATTTGTATGAATTATATAAAAATAAAAATGGCATCTATCAATAAACAAATGGTAATAATCGTCAATGAGTATTCATACTTGTATTTTTATTAGATTAATTTATTTATTTCTAATAATTTACTAATAGTAGAATAGTAGACAATTAATAATTTATTAATTAATTTTTTAGATGAAATATTTAAATCACCAGTATATTATTATAATATGTTGTTTAGTATTTATTTAATTTTGTAAGTCATTAATAATTTTTGTATCTGTCGATTTTTCTCAACAATTCTTCTTTTATGTTTGTTAAAATTATTCAGTCTCCAAATTCATATTTTTAAAGTTATTTATTTATACAACTCGATAATAGAAAATCAGTTAATGAAACTGAATAATTTTGTTCAACTTTGATAATTGGGTAGCACGTTGAATACTTTCTTGTATCACGTTTTCCAATTCCACTTTTCTCAATTCTAATTCCCCTAATTCCCAATTTCCCCAATTTCCACTTTTCCCAATTTCCAATTTCTCCAATTCCAATGTCCCCAATTCCCAATTTCCCCAATACCAATTTCCCCAAATCTAATTCCCCAATTTCCAATTTCCCCAATTCCCAATTCCCAATTCCCAATTCCCAATTCCCAATTTCCAATTTCCAATTTCCTCAATTCCAATTTCCCCACTTTCCAATTTCCCCAATTCCTATTTCTCCAATTCCCAATTTCCCCAATTTCTAATTCTCCCAATTCTATTTCCCCCAATTTTCAAATGCAACAAATTATTTATACCAATAACATGCTGGAAATTATATAGAAATCTATTTTGTAACAACTTGTTTCTCAAATTTAATAAAATGTATTCAAAGAATCAGTTTGCTATTAAAATTTTGATTGCGCCAGACAGATGCCATTTTAATATAAAAATAGTATGAAAAATATGTAATCGAATGCTACCCAACACTGATTATAATCTACGTTCAAATAGAAAATGTCGTTCTAAAGGGACGCTTATATCCCTTTCAGCATACATTTAAGCAAAACTACATTTTCATGAAAGAGGAATCAATTGAATTCGATTTATCAAATAATTGACTGTTCAGCTAACGATCCATACGCACGCACATACACATAAAACTCTTGAGCAAATCGAACTGAATCGAAAGAACGAAATTCGCAAGGAAGTTGAAGTATAAAATAAGAAGTGTTCGGAAACGAGTTAACGCAAAATTATAGAGAATACGCGTGTATGTGGGTACGAACGAACAAAAAAGAGTTGTTGTTAAATAGAAGAAGCTTCTATGAGATAAAATGTATGTATGTATCGCTTTGTTCAGACAGTAAATACGTACCTTAAACTCGGCATGCTTTTTCCTTTTATTAAATTCGTCGGATGTTTCATGTGATCGACATCTTTTGCCTCGAAAATTTTCGAAATGGTGGATGTTGGTCTCGTTAAGTGATTGTCGCCTGTGTCCAGACTTCGGTGGCTCTCCTGAAAACAAAATTTAATATTTATTCTGAAATAAGGATTAATGACTGCTGATCGAAATAATTCAATCATTCAATAATTCGAAATATTTCTATAACTTGATACTTGTTTAGGTACTTTGATTAATAAGAGAAATTAAATAGATAGATTTATTTTTAGTGATTTATAGCTTTGTTTTAAATAGTGAATAAAATATTTCTTTTTGTTACATGTAATTTAATTTGGACGACTTGAGGTTGTTTTTGGATATTCATATCTCTAAAAGAAAATTTAAAGTAAATGAAAATAATATTGAAAATATGACAAGACTATATATTATTGTATATTAGTGTACTGTCATATTCATGGAAGCATTATGCACTTGTATATAAACTATAATATTAATAATATAATAGGACTAGTATACAGGGTGTCTTGCAATTAGTGTTGGTCCCTGAAATGGGAGGTAGCTGACAGGAGGGTAGCTGACGTGATTCTGAATTAGATTTCTCTTTGCAAAAATGGGGTTTGAAACTTCGTTTTTGAATTATTACGGAAAACACGGACGCGTAGAAATGGGGGGAGTAGAGAATATGACGCGTGGAATTACGACGCGTGAAAATAGGGGACGTAGGGAATATAACGCGTGGAATTACGCCGCGTGGAGATTCAACGCGGGGAAATACGGGGCGTAGGAGATATGACGCGTAGAAATAGGGGCGTAGGAAATATAACGCGTGGAATTACGCCGCGTGGAGATTTAACGCGTGGAAATACGGGGCATGGGGGATATGATGCGTGGAAATTGGGGCGTAAGGAATATAACACGTGGAATTACGCCGCGTAGAAATACGGAGCGTAGGGGATATGACGCGTGGAAATAGGGGCGTAGGGAATTAGAGCGCGAATATTACGCATGCGCAAACGCAAGAGCGACAGCTTCGGGCCTAATGGCTAAGCGCGCGTAACCCTCGCGCTCTGATTGGTCCGTGTTTTTCCTTAATAATTCAAAAACAAGGCTTCATACCCCATTTTTGCAAAGGAAAATCTTCTTCAGAATCACGTCAGCTATCCTCCATTTCAGGGATCTACACTAATTGTCAGACACCCTGTATACATACAGTATAGTGGATGGTGCCTGTGATAATTAAATTAAGTAGGTATTAATTAAATAAAAAACATAAATATTTCCTATTAATCTAAGTAGCCTACTAGACTTTCCTATTAAACCTAAAAGAAGCTATTAATTAAATTTACAAGCATTACCTATTAAATAATTCAACGAATGTTGTCTATTAAGCAAATTAAGGAATACTGTCTACTAACCATATTAATTACTATTATCAATATTTGTACGAACCTGATCAAAAAGCATCTTCGGTTCTTCCTGACCAATTTTCTCAAGTGCCTTCTCCGACTTTGATAGCAATTTTGTTTCAACGAACGCTTTCAGGTCAGCCATTTTCATTCTCTTCTTAGACTTCTCGCTGGCTCGTCTCGTATGACTTGATTCGACGTCATGACCTTTGTATCATAAGACGTTACACGTAAAATAAAAAGCAACAAATTGTAAAGATTTATGAAATAATATTTTTACACACCACTTAATAAGGACGTGTCTCGAACTTCTGGAACTTCCATGAAATCTTTCGCCACGTCTTTTTTCTTGCTCTCAGGACTTTGATAAATTGATACTTCAATTTTTGGAATTGGTAAAGAATTGCTGCGACGACGTGGCATTTGTTGCACTGATATTTCTTCGTTGATCATACGTAAACTATAACAAATTTTTTCTGAGTGAATGTTACTGGTAATGGTTATTAAATATTTTAATAAAACATTGTATAAATATTAAATAATTATGGAAGTTAATTAACTTCTGCTTTACTTTTCTGTGAAATCTTAGGACCCACAAAATCATTTGACTTAATAATTTTTAATAATTATTAATGTTATTTCATGTATTTTTATGGTTCTAATAATTATTTCAAATCTATTATATCACTTTCATTACTATATTACATAATTTTAAATTTACTTATATTTCTACAATTATTTATAATACATTTGTATTATAATAATTACTATGTGATTATTTTATTTTAATTTCAAGTGAATTTCTGAAAAGTCTTTTGTAACAAAATTTTATCATTATTCCGTAAAAATTCAAGTTTTGCAATTGAAAAGAAATACCTCTTGATATCTTTATAAAAATCAGAATCCGTAGCCTTGTTTTCCTTTATTTAAACCAACTTTTAATGGTGAGTGATGTTTATCAATCAGAAAAAACCACTGTCAACTTTCAATAAACTAATGTACACTTTTATAAAGCTTCTTAATTTTTATACTTCATCAATAGGAAAAATTGATTAGAATTAACTAATTATGATCCTCAACTAAAATATCCTTGAATTTACTAAAAGTATTACTGTTGAAATTTCTGGCTAAGAACGCTCATTTATTAAAATTCAAGATAATTAGTAAAAGTAAATTAATAAAAGTATACTGTTACATAACGTGATTCTGTATATTACAAAAGAAAGAAAACAACGCCAATATACTTGTTATTACACAATTTTACCAATTTTCTAAGAATTTTTAAACTCTCAAAACTTATAATAAGAAATCAACAACAAAGTATTTTTCACGTAAAAAATTTATTCAAAATAATATTGCAAACTTACATTTCGAAAAAAAGCATATGATAAAAGAGTTTTTCATAATTTCACAACAGAGGGTTAAAAATAAATTTGTAAGATTATTAGAATATTAAAAATAAAGTATATTAGCTGTTCCGAGTTGCTCGGAATATAATTAAGGTAATATTTATGGGTATTTTGTCAAACTCAAAAACGTTTCACCTTTGGAATTTTAAACTGATATTTAAGACCATATGAACGTCTCCACAACTTGACGTTCTTAACAATTGACAATAACCTTCTAATAGGCCAGAAAAGCACGCTTTCTTAACACCAATATACCTTTTCTTAAAGAAGTTTATTCCATGGTCCTAAACTGTGCACCCCAATAAAGTGGGCCTACGCGCTCGAACTCCGATGATAAACACATGGTGCCCATTTATTACTTCCTTTGAAGGACCCAAATCACTCAATTGCTTTGGGTTACTTTGTTAACAAAATGTAATTTACAACCCTGGAATAAAGGCTAAAAATCTTACAATCCCATTCGCTAAACCATCTCACCAATCAGTATTTTTCACAAATAACAATCTGTCCTGATTGGCCTTTTTTGGTAACGCCTTCACGTCCTGAACTTCCTGCATTGCTTTCTTTTCTGGCTGTTTAGAAGCGACTAGTCAGTCTTAAATCAGCTTCCTTAGAATATACTTACTTCGGTCAGTCTTACATTAACTTTGTCACTATCAACGACTTCAACACACAACAATCATTACTACCAGTGGGATGATGAACTACATCCTTCATTGACCTGGGCACACCAGTGTGGAGGACTCTGAGCCACTCTATCAATTCTACTCTATAATACTAACTCTACA